ATTAATTTGAGACATTAATCAACTGGGATGAAATTTAATGAAATGAAATGATATGGAATGAAATATAATCGCAGTAAAATGGTGGTCATTTACTGAGATTTTTTCAGTGGACTTTTTGGAGGAACCCGAGAAGTTACGTCCAGCAGCTTTGTTTCATTTTCCCACATTTGTGCACTTTCACAGATATTAAACAGTTAATAAACCACCATTATTACACATTTAAACCTGAAGAAACACTAAATAGACAAAATAAAACAAATCACACAACTTCACTCCTCGCGTTCCCGCCGAAAAGTCTCCCATCAATATATAGATTCAGAAAATATATAGATTCAATATCCGATATTGATACTCGATATATAGATACGATTCGATACGCGGCAAAACCGATATTACCCACTCCTACATACTACCATGTATTTGACACCCACACGCATAAATATATTATATATTTTTCTGTTTATTGTTAACTCAAATTGAGAATAGATTAATATTGTTTGTATTTAATATTATTTGTCTATAGTGTAATTAGTCTTGGTGAAATCTGTGGTTAATAGAAGTATAGTATTTGACAATAGAACCATAATAATGTTCAAACTTATAATTTAAATTAATTTGGTTGAATTTCAACCACCGAGTGACCACTAGTATACATAATGGTCATGGTAATGCGTAGTAAATTTGCGTAATTACTGGTATTGGGGCGCACTGCTTAAGCCCGCACGGGTATAGCCATCCTATTTATTTTTGCCACAAAATGATTATGCGTTCCGATTTGAAAGGCGGGACAGCCGTTCAGCCGTTACGTAATACAATTGGAACATCGACCTCGGATCTCAAGGTGGGGTAGAGCATTCTTGATGTTATTTATGGGTACCAGTAATTAACACCAGGTGGATCGAGGGTCATCCACACGTATATGCACAACATTAAATCTCAACAATTAGACACATTTCAAAACTGAGCGTTGTATTTTTTTACTTCTTTAAGTTACAAATGCTCAGAGTCGAGTCTCGAGTTACACAGTGCATCGTACTGTGCACTAAACAATTATTAATTTCAAAATTATTAGATTGAATTCGTCGTAGCTTAAAGGATAAGACGTCAGGTACATTCGTATCAAACGTTACAACTGCGCCGGTATCCGAAGCCCTCAGGCAGATACCAATATTTCTATTGAAACACGTACTGAACAAACAAACGTTCACGATTGATCTCCACGATTAAGGAATAACATCGTGTATAAAAATCAAACCCGCAAAAATTATAATTTGGCTTACTAATTAATTAGATACTGGTGATAGGGCATCTTGTGAGCCCACACGGATAGGTACTGCCCACCCTGCCTACTTTTGCCGTGAAGCAGTAATGCGTTTCGCTTTGAAGGGTGGGGTAGCCATTGTATGTAAAAACTGAGACTTAGAACTCATCGCTATCAACTCAAGAAAAGGTGATTAGTGAGCTCGTCCACACATTTAGGCAATAAAAATATGCCTTCATCAGTTTTCATAAACCTAATAACAGGTACTACAATGGTAGTTTTCCAATTACAGCACAAGAGCGCATTAGGCGGCATAATGCTCAACGTTGAATGTTCCAACTACAGCAACACTTCGCACAATCGAGCACTCTCAAAAGTACTGTTCTAGCGTGATACTCGCAATCGATACCGACCCAGTGACAGAAAATTGACAAGTGTTTTTTCTTTAAGTTGGCATTGATCGAATTTTTGTTTATATTATCGTTAGTAATATTATTTAATGTTGAAAAAAACTGTAAGGCTTTCGTTTCGTCGTAGTTTCTTAGAAATAATCAATGTTAATTAAAACTGTGCTAACCTAGCGCACTCTGCTGATGTATTTGAAAACTAATTTACGTTCCAATTAAGCTTCAGCATAATTCGGCATTGTGCGTCACTGAGTCGCATTATGCTCTGTAATTGGAAAATTACCTATAATTACAGTTGTAGATTTCCCTAAACCTTGTACTTTGGTTCAAAAAATTGTCTATTTACTATCTAATTCTATTCTCTATTTTTCTACTGCAAATGCAATGCCTTATCCTAACAATTGAGGCATTAGAGATGATATTCAGCGAAGCACTGCTCTTGGTAGAGGGCAGGTGTTAGCAATTTCTTTCAGTCTGAACCCCAATAAACTCGCCCACCAGTCAAGGTGAAGTCAAAATAGCCACTATTGGCGACACACTATTGGCAGATAAGTAGACAAAAAAGAAGCATGAAGAAGCCTGTTTTTTCGTTATTATTCCTCGACAATGACCAGGGATTTTTTTCCTATTCAGGATCTTTGGAATCTGGGTAACCTCTTAACATCAGCAAAATTCATCTGCCCACCTTACGAATAAAGAGTTCAACAAACGATAATTGAAAAAATTAAAAGTGATAAATTAATAAGAAAACTTACTTTTTGTAAACCTCATGTAACTTTCCCATCAGAATATCGGTGTTCTTTCCCTTATTCAACATCAATATTAAGCTGCATAATATCAGTTTCTGTTGCATCGGGAGCCCTTCGTCGACTTCTGATCCTATATTCGTTGAACCACCGTACACGTTATTCAGAACTTGCAGAACTTCCTTCAGTTCCACGGTCACTGACGAATCCCTCAATAAACTATCGACAGATTTGTTTTCTGCAAATCTGTTTCGATTTGCGACCTCAATTACTCTCCGTCCTATATCTAATGCTCTTCTCATGTCACCAGATACAGCGGCTATCTTCGCTGAAAATTACAAACACGAAACATTAGTTTTGAATGTAACGTTTAATATTTGACTCTGTAGCATAACAATAATCTTAATTTAATTAAAAGTAGTTTTACTTGTCATTATATTAAGTATTTACGTTTCTATTTAGAGTACAGTACAGTACAGAAAATTCAAGTTTTTTTTTTAAATAATAACGTGCACCTTTAGTATCGATTCATTTCTGCCAGTCCAGAGCAGTAGTAATTTTTCAATGCTCTTTTTGAATAAATCACATGTACGGGAGCTAACAAGCTTTTCAAAGGTATTTTGTACTGGCTTCTCGGGTATTGAATTTTTTCCTGTCAAGTTGTCCAAACTTTGAAACAAGTAGAATTCTACCGGCGCAAAGTCTGATAGTGGTGAATACGGTGAGTGACGCAAAACTTCCAACCCTAGCTCGTCGTGTCGTTATTGATTAAAAAAATAAAAACTAAAAACCTCATCTACAAACAAATGACTGAATTTGAACCTAAATTTCCATTTTTTTTCAATAAAACTCATTTGAATTTGTAATTTATTGCCAGCCATACAGAATTAACTTTCCAATGGCCAGTATTGTAAAACGGCCACTTCATAGGTAAAGATATATTATATTTTCTACGAATACTTAACAATTTTCGTGGATACACAGATGACTGGCTGAATATCTTGATATATTTACCTGCTAACATTTGGAGTGCAACAGGCGAAAAAACATTAGCCTTGTCGTCATTCGCCAACACGGCGACGAATATTTTTATGATCTGTTCTTTGGTATATGGTGCGAAGTGTAAAGTGTGTGGCTTTAGGGAACACCTCGCTTGCAGCCTCGGTAGCGTTCTTTCAGTTAGATCCAAAGCATTCGCCACCCCAATCAAAACTATTCGTGAGTTTGGTAGGACTGGCCATTCGAATATACTGTACAACACTGACTGTCTTTTACTGTCTAATTGGTCCAACTCGTCTAATACTAACAAGCTGTAACAAAAGATTGTTTCTTATAACAATATCTAGTGGGTTATCATTATCAGGACATAATATAAAGCCACATGCTCCTTTCCCATCCTCTTCGCCTATTTCTGCTCCAAAGAAAACATGTCTTTGAAGAGTAGAAATGATCATCGTCGTATATTATTGGGGACAACGAGATTCATATTGTGATGTCTATGAAATTTAGTAACGGTTAACATTAGACACGTGAACCCTCGTCACCATACATTCATGACCCTCTAAGAAGAAAAAAAGGAAATCATAGATGCAAATCAAAAATATATCTGCCATTCTAATTCAAACATTAATGTATTCATGGCAAATGTTTACAATTTTTAATGGTTAGTTCTTATTATAGATTTTAGGGGTTATAGCAACAATTACCAGAATTTCTCAAGAAGTTAATCAACAATGCAAAATACAATCACTATTAACACTCACATCATTTTATGTGTTTTTTGTAGATACTTTTCTATTGCTTTAACACATGCCTTTTCAGTGGTAGCTGTCATTTTCAAGCCCAACTCTTTACACACTCTGCTATAAATACTGGCTGCTGATTTCATCATAGTACAATTTATGTATACCTGCTTAAAGCCCTCTTTGATCTGTAACAAGGAAAATAACTTTACATAATAAAATATATAGGTATTACATGTGTTCAGTTTAAAAAGGATGGGGCTAAAACGGGCCTGACTATTAATTATGTTTCTTTACAACGTCGCGTAGAAATATTGCTGTCTGAAATGCACAGTTAAATTTACTTTTAACGTGATTTCCATGTTTCCAGTTAGATTTTTTTTTTATAATTTTCAAGCCATTTTCTCTTGTTGAGAAAGCACGTATGCGTCCACATTTCAAACAGGTTAATAGTTTAAATACCAACAACGTGTCTTATCAAACGTGCCATGCGTATAACAAACATTTTATCAATTTTACAAATATTTTATATGTCAGAATTTTAAACACCATTTTACATCCACGCTTTTTATTACTATTATTAGATGTTTCTGCAAAACCTTTATTATACAGTGACTGTATTCGCTTTATAACTAAGTAGGCCAATGCAGCATATAGTTCATGAAAAGGTACCTTACATATTTCGATGAAAGTGATTTTCGGTTTATATATCTAGGATGTATTTACCTACACAGGATGTGGTGGTGACATTAATTGGCTTAATTTCAAAAGAAAAATAAATCTCTCAATTTTTTTAAAGATATGGTACATACAGTCGTGGTCAACTAATTAGGGACATTAAAGATAGTGAAGAGCTATAACCGATTATGTACATTTAAATATTAAACCCTATTGATTTCTCAGCACCTATTATTTGTATAATGTGGTCCGATTATTATGCTATAAATGGCTGTAAATAAAACATTTAATAAATACAAAAAGTATTTAATATCAAAGATTAAACATGTATTAAATATTAAGGTACAATTCTGTAGTGGACATTTAATTAAGGACAGTAAAGTATAATGAAAAATACAGTTACACAAAACTTATAATCTTCAGTGTTATAATATCTCTAACAGCTCCATTTTATTACGTGTAAAATCAGTACCCAGTAGCAAAACCTTTGTTAGTAATTACCGCTTGACACCGATGTGGCATAGACATTATCAGTTTCTGACATGTTTCGACAGGAATGTTTGCCCATGCCTCACAAAAAGCTTCATGAAGTTCATCCAAATTTGTATTACGATAAGTGGCAACTTTTTTCTTGATTTCGTGCCAAAGGTGCTCAATTGGGTTGAGGTCCGGGCTATTTGCTGGCCAATCTAGCACCGATACAAACTGACTGGTAAGAAACGACTTGACTGAATGGGCGGTATGTTTCGGGTCGTTATCCTGCTGAAACGTCCATATAATAGGGAGATGCTCCTCAGCATAGGGAAGCATAGTTTCTTCCAATATTGCCTTGTATTGATGTTGGTCTAAGTTACCCTGAACTTTCCTCACAGGTCCCACTCCACGTCCAGAAAATGAACCCCATATTTTAATGTTTCCACCGCCATGTTTCACCTGTTTTTTTGTGAATCTTGGATTCATTTCCGCTTTTACAGGACGCCGTACATATTGCCTACCATCTGAAGAAATCAAATTAACCTTGGTCTCGTCAGAGAAAAGTACATGTTGCCATTGGGCGTAGGTCCAATGTCCATATTTACGTGCAAATGCCAAACGAGCATTTCTATGTTCTTTCTTCAACAACGGTACTTTGCGAGCCGCTCTTCCGAACAGCCCTGCTTCTACCCAACGTCGTCGAACGGTTTTCGCAGATACACCGGTTCTTTCGTTTGCCCCAAACACTTCGTGTTTAATTAAAATAGAGCCTAGAAACAGATCTTTCTTAGCTAACCTGGTTATCATTCTATCTTCTTGCGGAGTCGTTTTTCTCGATCTTTTTGTTCTGGACATATTTAAAGCTGTGTTATAGTGCTTGAAATGTTGCACTGCATTGCATACCATAGTTTTTGAACAATTTAAATGTTGTGCTATCCTTCGGTATGACCAACCACGCTCGACAAACTTCATGATAATAGTGTTGGATCGCAACTTTTATTTATGCCCATTTTTCTTCAAAATAATTCTCAAAACTTAAAATAAAAAATCTGGATTGCCGCCAAAACGACCACTAAACAATAAGAAAAGAAACAAAAAAGTCTTAAAATTCCAATTTTGAAACTAGAACGCAATACCTCAGTGTCCCTAATTAAATGGCCAGCCAGCATTCTTTGAACCAATAGCACTATGATATTGTATCAGCTATACTGTAAAGAGGTTTAATGTTTAAGAAGTTGTTATTATTTGTATAATCGCGCACATAAATGACTAATTACACTTACATGTAAAAGATATGGAATATTGCTAAGACTCGTTGGAAAATAAAAAAAAAATTCACAATTTAGCTTAACTAGAGATTGTCCCTAATTAGTTGACCACGACTGTATATAATAAAACAATAAATCAAGAAACTTATGCATCAATGTTAAGAGTATGTTTTAGCCTGTTTAGATTTTTTGAAAGCTTTTTAATTTTACTAATTATAAATTGTAACAAATTAAAAAGTTGGTAAAAAAAATTAAAAGTTCATTTAAGTCAAGATATTCATATGATAATGCAGGGAGTAGAAATCATTTTTAAATTAATCGAAATGGATAATGAATTTGCTTACTTTTGGTTGCTGCAAAATATAGGACAGACTTGCTGTTTTCCCAGTTCCCGGTTGACCCGATACGTAAATTGATGCTGATTCTTCATTTTCCAAATGCTCATTTAGAAAATTTTCGAGCCGTTCGATTTCCATTTCTCTACTTGTTAAAGGCTTCAATATTTTTGGGGATCTAAAAAAAAATTTTTCCGGTTTGAAGGTGCATTTCTTTATAAGTTCAAGTATACTTGCATTCATAAAAGGGTGACTATTAGATGATTTCATTTTTAAAATTAGTGATTAGTTTTTTTCATTTCGCTTGTCAAGAGCTTATAGCATATTATAGAATTTGTATTATTATGCCCTACGCGGCGATCTGTAAGAACTATTTAGAACAAGTCTGTCCAGACAATAGCCCGCGACTTGTTTTCATGCGACCCGCGACGCATGTTTTATCAGAAAATAGTTTGGATATAAATACTTCGCATATGAGAATCCTTGTCGAAACATATAATCAATATTTATAATTTATCTTTGTTCTTGTATTATTCCATTCACATGACATCATTTAAAAGTAAAGCTATGTTTTACTATGAATGGGGAAATTGTATATTGGGAAAGTATTTATTACACTGAATTTTTATTTATTTGAAAACTGAAAATCTGCTGCCCTCCAGCTTTCTTAGTAAATTTAATTAGACCGCACAGGTATGTAGTTAGGACAGCCCTGATTTAGAAGGTGAGGTATTCTCGATCAAGTTGCAACAAATTCAATAGGGCTGGCATATCATTCAGGAGCTCCGTTCAGTGCCATCGTGCGCACGATCTCCATATCAAGCCCACCACAGAGGACAATTTTTCAGAAGCCCGTGTTCCGACCGTCACAAGAAATAGACGGACGCGTCTCTCAAGACGGACACAGTAGTTCCAGCAATCATCCAATGTGGTGACGGTGGTATTTCTCATGTACCTAGTTCATGAATGCGTTAGGTACATATTCACTTATAAAATCACTTGTCATAGGAGTTGAACCACGACATAGTCGCATCTCTTGATTTGAATACCATACATCCGACATCTTACAAATTAACCTACTTAAGAAAAAACATACTCACTCATCATTCAAAGATGAACATACTTCTGCTGCTCTATCATCAGTGGTATTTTGAGAACTTTTACTTTTTTTTACTTTAGAACTGTCATCTGAAAACATTATTTTCTTTTTAATGGGGGTGTCTAAAAAGTCACTATGTTATAGACTGTTACTCTTAAGATATATAGATTGGATATCCTTATAAGACTTCTTCTCAGTCGTAAACTCCTGGGGAAGTGGTCGTGGTTATGTATTGTCTTTATTCCTTGGTTGCGGCTTTTGCGAGGCTTCTCTCTCTATTTGTGGCGGTGCGTGTACATTCAATAAGAGAACACTTCGTAGATGACATAATAAGGTCTGTCTATCTTGTGGGTGATCGGTCGCGAGAGTGTTAACCGTCTACTCTTCCTTGAACCATTAACTGTTCTAATGAGCTTCGTTATGGATGATATGTCCAAACATATTAAGGATTCGCAATTGTACAATCAATGAACCTTTGTTGACGATTGCCTTATAAGTCTAGAAGATAAGTCTTCAAACCAACTAGGTAGACAGACAATAAGATGCTCTGTCCTGTTGTCAATTATTTTTCATTTTTATAGATGGACAGAGGAGCTCGCGGGCGACCTGGTGCTAGTGATTTAAAATTATTTATTTCAAACAACACTTACCATCATCGATTTTAATTTTCCTATCTCTTAAACTTCTTTTTAAGGTTCTTTCCTTAGGAACATAATTTATATTAGATAAATCATTATTCTCGTCATTGTTAAAACAAGTTCTTTTACGATGTTTAAATGGAATCGTGGCCTGAACAGACATCTGAAAATATATAGTTGTACACATAAAATAACAACATAGGAGATTTTAGTTTCATTTTAAACAGATTTTAATTTACCTTTTTGGTAACGGGCTAATGTAAAAAATAAAACAATCAGAAGACTGTGAAATAATTATATTAAATAATAAAATTTGTATTCCTGACATTAACATTGGTTATTTTTTGATTAATATTCTCTACCATAAAACATTGTACATTTTATATCTAATTTTAAAATTATTCAGATGCTCATTTTATTTAAACCACAATACATTTAACTGTTAAAAGCTTCCATAATCATTAAAATTATCTTTAATGCAATAATTATTATATTAATTACTAACATAATATTATGCTTTATTCCCAATTAAATAATAAAAAAATAGTTCTCAGTAAGCACAATTGTGCTAGGTATTTGAATTTAGAATCTTATAATTCAGGTAATTATTCTGAAGCATTTTACCTTATCACAATAACTTTTATCTCTAAAATTAAATATGAATACTTCAACTGATTTGAAATAACCAAAATAAAATAAAACAAAATTTTATAAAAATATGAAATTGTGGTTAGCATATTCCAGTCCAGCCTAATATGAAATTACACACTCAAATTAAAATCCAAATATGCAAATAACATCTACTGCTTATCTTTGTGATATTCATTTTGATTCTGATGTCCCATATTCTTCATAAATTCATACTGCCTTTGAGCTTTGATCCAAGCATTGACTTCCATGTGTTTAGCAATATGCTGCGATAAATTACTACTCATAGATGATGATGCAGTGGTTTTAAGTGTTGAAGTCAAAGATGGCCATACACCACTAACTTTATTTGTATTGAGGTTTTTTACTTGCTTAAGACTTGGTTTTGATGGACCTGGTAAAGTTTTAGATAATTCTCCCTTTGGAGTACCAAAGTTAGTAATATGTGTACTAGTTACTTGATTCAACTGGCTAACATTGTGTTCCATTACAGTAGTACTTGTTTGTTTTTCTTCAGCAATGACCAATTTAGGAGATGAACTGGGAGAACGTGTCTGAGACCTTGGTGAAGGTTGTGCATTGCTAGGTGGGTGGGCTGATGGTATTTGATAAGCGGGAGACTGCAATGTCAAATTCATATTGCCTAATTGTTTTACTTGGCTGCTTTTTATAGAACTTTCTTGTCTATTATTACCAGTCACTGTTGGCACATTTGGGTTTGGTTTATCAAGTTTTACTTGATTTATAGTATTTGGGGATGATAAACGTACTGAATTAATTCCAGCAGTTAAAGGTCTGCTTGTGATGCCTGGAAAAATATTGCTATGTGTCAAAGACATTGGGATCCCTTTTGATGGCAAATTCTGCTTCTTTGCCAAATTTGCTATAGAATGCATAGTTTCCAAAGCTTTATCAAATGTTTGCTGAACAGCTAATTGACTTTGAATGTTGTGAGGGGTTGTTAAATCTAAAGCAGTGCCGGTTTTAGTTTCAGTACTAGAACTATTTGTAGGTTTGTTTACTGGTATGATAGGTTTAGTGACAGCACTAAGGGATTTTGGGGTAGCCGGCACCAACTTAGGCACCTGTGCCTTATTTTTTGGTTTCCCTTTTTTGTCACATTGTAAGCTCTGTAATTGCTGTTCAAAAGTTTGTTGAAATGTGATGGGTGTTGAAAAATTTCCAGCCTGTTTAGCAAGTTTTGTGTCAGCAATAGGTTTTAAATTAGGAACAGGGCCTTTAGTGGAAGTCTCTGACCCTTTGGTTGTAGGTTTTGTTTGACTTATTTCAGGTTTACATTGAGAATTTGTTTTAGAATCAGCTTCGTTTTTTGCAATTTTTTTCAAATTAGAATCTGATTCAGGTAATTTTAAAATTTCTATATAATTGTGTACTGGAGGGCTGGGCACTTTATGGGCAGAAATACTGCTACTACTAGCAGCAGCTAAGTTTTTATTAGTTAAATTTTTTTTAGGATCTAATGTATCTACAGGACAGCGATTGTCTGATTTTTGATCTGTTAAAGTAATGGAAAGGGAAGATGGTATATTTATTTTGCACGAGTCAAACAGAGATTTCAATGGGTCGCCTGAATTTTGGGCTGGGCTTTGTACACCCATGGATGATTTTACTTGTGATAATATTTTGCTTCTATCAATAGTAGGGTCACTATTATTAGCCAATAGATCCATTCTGACTTTATTCATAGCTGGACTTTTACTGTGAGCTGATTGCAACATTGGCATGCTCGGTTTGAGATCTGGTATCTTTTTTAATGGGGGTTTTGGAGCTTCACTTGTTTTGGAAACTGCATCTAATTTTGGTATTTGTAACTTTAAAGGAGATAGAGTCTTCTGTTGCTGTTGTTGTTGCGGCATTGCTTGCTCTGCTGTGGATTCATTTGGAGGTTTACGTTTGGGAGATAAAATATTTTGTGGTCCTACAACTGTTCTTTTAACACCTGAATTATCCAAGGTTTGTTTACTAGTACCAACTTGTTGCTTTACTGTCTGTGGTTGCTTCAAATCTCTGGTAGTTGGAGTAGCACTTGGTGCATTATTTTTTATAGCAGATTGATTATTTTTGTTACAATCAACAGTTTCGTGTTTTCTTTGATTTTCTTCTGTTTTGGTGCTAATACTAGAGCTTGATGGTTGAACACTGAAACTAGGCAAACAATTTGATATTTCCACTTTTAATTTCTTTAATTCAGGTGTAGGAGGTGATGTGTGATTTTTTCTTTTTAAATTATCAGGTGTTGGGTCTTCAGCTTTCACTTTGCTTGTTATGCTTTTAGTAACCACTTCCTTCGCAAGAGATAGTTTTTCTGTGTTGAATTTCTGTGGGGATTTTACTGGTATACAGCTACTTTTAGCAGTGAGCTCAAATGAATTCAGAAACTGAGATTTCTCTACATCTTCATCTAGCTTGTTTGTTGAGGAATAATCATTCTTATCATTACAACTTTCGTCATTTTGTACATTCATCTTATCATTGGTCAAAACTTCAGGAGTATTTCTATTATTATCATCAGGAACGGGACTACTAGGTCCAGAAGAAGCTTCCGAAGCATGATCATGCAAATTAGGTGCCGGACTGCTAGTGCTTGTATCTTCTGTTGAAACAGGACTCAATTTTTGATCATGAAAGTGTGATCGTTTTCTGTTTATATCAAAAATTCTGTTCCTTATTGCTACATAATCGATTATCTGGTAAAAAAATCTCATAGGCTCATTCCTTTTCCAATTATAAATATAAGCAATATCCATTAAAGTGTAGTAGTCAGGTAAAGGTACTTTCTTGTATAAGATATCAATAGCAAACTGTGAACTGTCAACATCAAACTTTTTACTTAAGAACTTTTTTAGGTGACTTATATTCACAACAGCTGGGCATTGTAAATATCTTCTAGTAGATGCTGAGTTTGGTGGAGGCTCATTACTATCTGAAGATTTACTGGATATGCTATCAGTATCTGTGACATCAGCATATTCTAACGAAAATGAAATGACATCTTCAGGACTGAAAATTATTCTTTCTGTGTCTTCACCTCTCTGTTCTGGTGTAGCTGTTGCGGCTTGTCCAGGCCTCGAGGCATAAAAATGTTGCCGCCTTTCCATTTCTTTTTGGAAGAGCCCAGGCACAAGTTTGTAGACTATGTCCTGCAGTGCTTTGTCAAGTTTGATATTGGGTTTTGCCGAATTTATCATCATTTCACATACAGGACAGTAGCTCTTTGCTTTAAGGTGTTTAATAATACAACTACGACAAAAGGAATGCAAGCATTCCACTATTGTGGTCGCATCTATGTAGTACCCTCGACATAATGGGCACGTTATATGTTCGTTAACTTCACCCAATAATGTTCTTTGCGGTACAACGGCAACGTTACTATTATCCATTTTAACAACTTTTTTATCGGAAATTATGTTAGACGTAACCATTTTTTACACGGCGTCACTGTTCCACCGCAGCTGTTAACTCAAAACATAAAAGCTAAAAAGTCACATTTACACTTCTAAGCTAAGAATTATTATTCATTGGACAGCCCGTCAATCACAGTCATCTTTAATAAAAATGAATTTCAAACCAAAATATAATTGGTTTAATATGTTGAATTTCACGATTCTAAACGCGACTTACGAAATTGACAATTCCCGATTAGTTGAGTTTGTTACGTTGGTAACATCGATGTTTATTTTTGAAATAAATATCTTTGGGTATTGAATATACGTTTTAATGATATCAAAACATTTACCTCAATCAAAAATAGATGATTTCTCACAACAAAGGAATGACTGTTGTGTGCCTGCCCTTTTCACTAATTTGGTTTATGAAATCAGATCTCACAAACCTTTTCACTTTTGGCGCGAAAATGCACATTGTCGCACTGTCGGATCAGTGACTCATAATCATAGACGGCAGTCGGCAGTAGGAGTTTTATTTTTCCAACTGGAAAGACAATGGTATCATACCATACAGCCTATAGTCTGAAAGTTTGAATGAAGTGAAATGAAATGAAATATAATCTCAGTAAAATATTGTCATTTACTGAGACTTTTTCAGTGGACTTTTTGGAGAATCCCGAGAAGTTACGTTCGGCGGATTTGTTTCATTTTCCCAAATTTGTACACTTTCACAGATACTAAACAGTTAATGAACCACCGTTATTACACATTTAAATCTGAAGAAACACTAAATAGACCAAATAAAACAAATCCCACAACTTCACTTCTCGCGTTCTCGCCAAATAGTCCTGTTTAATCCAATTTATATGCACAGTGCCACAGATTTCTGTTTCATATAGAGCCTTTGTAGTCAAGATTGCATTCGTACCTAAACAAGCTGGGAAGACGTAACAGCGTCAACCTAGTTTGAATATCCATTAGAGTATTAAAAGCAATGAAAAGACTAACGAACTGGCTAAAAAGGATTTCGAAAGAAAATTTGTTGGACTCTAAAATGATACATGTCTCACATGCATCATTTTAGTCGTCGTGGCCTAACGGATAAGACGTCCAGTGCATTCGTATATTGCGATGCACCGGTGTTCGAATCCCACAGGCGAGTACCAATTTTTCTAATGAAATACGTACTTAAAAAATATTCACGATTGACTTCCACGGTTTGTTTTAATGCTTAGATGGGTGGACGAGCTCACGGCCCACTTGGTGTCACGTGTTTACTGGAACCCATAGACATCTACAACGTAAATGCCGCCACTTACCTTGAGGTATGAGTTGTAAGGTCCCAGCATAGTTACAACGACTGCCCCACTCTTCAAACCGAAACACATTACTGCTTTACGGTAGAAATAGTCCGGGTGGTGGTGCCTACCCATGCTGACTCACAAGATATTCTACCACCAGTGTTACTAATACTAGGAACGTTTGCCGAAGGTATCATCAATAAGTGCAATGACTACTTCCATTGGTCTGTTACTTTGCCTAATAATTTACAACATTCTGATCACAGCTTTCACTGCCTCAGGGTGTACAATTGTACATTGATCCCAAACAATTGTGTAACAGTCACGCAAAAATTGCGCTTTGTCACTATTTATCACGATGCAATAAGCTGGCGTTCCCGTGTATTACTGTAGAGTTATTCTAATATAGAATGAGTAATTCTATTCTTCTATTAAAATCTTCGCATAATATCATTTTAGGAATAGCGAACGCAAGTGCAATATTCTTTTAGATTCGGATTCGCATATTGTGGCGTCATCCTTTGGGAACTTTCTTAGGCAACACTTAGTTTTAATTAAATTAATGTACTGTGCTTATATACGCACGAGTTCATTTTTTTTTAGAAAAGGTACGTGTTTGATTTAGGCGCATTAAAAATAATTCTATACTATGTGCAGGATACTACGTAGTAGTTAATCAGCTGTGATAATATTATTTTTCATTAAAATCTATAAAGAAGTTCATACGTAGCTTTTTTTTTTATTGCCTTTGTAGGCAGACGAGCATATGGCCCACCTGATGGTGAGTGGTTACCGTCGCCCATGGACTTCAGCAATGCCAAGGGCAGAGCCAAGCCGCTGCCTACCGTTGCCTGCCTTATGCACAAACATACAGAGAGCATACAGATTACAGACATACCGACAAAAATACAAAAAATGGTGTTTTGGCATCTTTAACATTTACTCCATCATTAACATTTTCAAATAATATTTCATGTATAATACAAAACAACAACGTTACAACTTTATCTAAAAAAAATATTATAAATAAAAAATGTCTTTGTATCTGGTGTCCCCGTATGCGGATGGACGATTTGATAGTTTTAACGCTTGCGCTATTCAGCCACTGGGTAAGGCCTTGCACAGAAATCTATTATTCTTGAAATTACGTGTATCGTCAAGATTAAGAAACTAAAATTACAATCGCTATTGCTTTCGGACTTAGAAGTAAATACAATTACCAGCAGCAATTCATTTTCATATATTTTTGTCACTGCAACGTAAAAAAAAACTCATACAAAAAGAAAATATTGATGAACTGCGTTGACATTATCTTAGATAGATATGGAGGATAGAAGTAAGGAGAACCGTCTCTGTTGTGAAAAAGTGTCCGTTAAAATCTGCTAAATAAGGGTGGCGCTACAGTAGCAGCCGGGTAAATTTAAAAAAAGGCGCTGAAAGTTATTAGAATAAGATAGAGAAATGGGAAATAAAAAAGGACGAGAGAGCTGTAAGCACTACAAAATCACAAAGAATATTTTATTTAAAGCTGATAAGGAAATGCAACCGATGTCTCCACGTTTTAACACAACAATAATTTTAGATTATATTATTGACGAAATTAGTTTGGACTACGTAAACATGTGAGGTCTTGTAAACTGTCACTAACCACACTAGTCGTTAATTATTAGGTTGGGGAAAAAATCTTTTCGCATAATAGTATGTATGAACTTGTAATAAAATCTCTTTGGCCATACTATTTGTATCTGGCTGGTTTTGGTATCATTAAAAGTTTAAATTTTAAAGAAGATAATTCCAAATTGAAATTAGGAAAATGTCTGATTTTTATTTATTTTTCGTACTGTCAAGATGAGTGAATCTAATGAAGAAATTTGATACATTTTAAAATTTTACTACAAAAAAGGTAAAAATGCAACGCAAGCCACGAAAAAAATTTGCGATGTTTATGGACCTAGTGCAGTGTCTGTGAGAGTAGCACTAAATTGGTTTAAGCCTTTTCAATCCGGAATTTTTGGGAGTTTACCAATTACAGCACTAGAGCGCATTATGCGGCATAATGCTCAACGTTGAATGTTCCAACTACAGCAACGCTTCGCACAATCGAGCGCTCTCAAAAGTACTGCCTGTCATCAGATATTTTATTAATGGCTCAAATAACGCATCTGTTTCATTATCATATATATTTTCAATAAATATATCACTTGATAATTAAATAATTGATTGATTTAAACTCGGAGCACTCGATAAATCATCGTCATCACTATCATCTGGATAAGATGATTCAATTAAAATTATATAATTATCTTAGAACCCATTTAAAAAAATTACTCAAAACGTAAATATTTAGTGCTGAAAATGGGGCACTTATTCAAGTTTCTCCCATATGAGATTGTTCTCCTTACCTCTACCCTCCTTAATCTTAGATCAAAATAAAAGGCCAACACGCGAGCGCCAATCTGGTTGCTATTTGAAATACTAATTAATGTTTTTTGCAGTTAGCATTAACATGAAATACGCACTTTTTACTTATTATGGAGGGTAGTAGAGGTAAGGAGAATTATTTCATAGGGGAGAAAAAATAACCACGTTGGTGTACACCACTGAAGTAACGTTTCGTGTAGACAAAAGGTACATGTAGATGAATTGACGTATACAGAGTTTTTAAAAAATCGACTAAATTAGTTAATTATTAAAAATGTCAACAACTTACGTTGTAAAAAATATTGTAGTAAATTATAATCTTAAATAGTTATTACAAGAATACGTGCACCTAGAATGATTTTATTACGTAAACTGAGAATGGCACTAATATTTATTTAATAACATTTCATTTTATGAAAAAGTATCTAACATACTTTAGAAGGTTGCGTGTTCAAATCACGTCGAGGCTACCACTTTAGCGTATTATATTTAATGGTAATTATTATTTTGTATGTCAGAGTAAAATCAGACAAAGGCGAGTTAAAATATACGTTTTTTAATTATGTATTTATTATTCGATACGGTACACTTGGTCTACACTGATTTACGAGGCTCTAAACAATATATAATTCGACTGTATTGGTTGACGAGATATGTGTGACTGTCCGACTTCATAGTTCGTACTGGTTCGACACATTACAACCTTACTACACACGCATGATAAGCTAACTTCAGCCGGCACATATTAACATAATTTAATAATTGGCGCTTCCTTTAACATTTCCCTGATGGTAATGTGGCGCTAACCTAATTTAATACATTTCGACGGACAATTTTCATAATAATATAGACAGTTGATTCTCCTTACCTTTACCCTACCTTCATACTCCAAAGTTCTATAAAAGTACAGTTTAAAAGCTTATTACATTTGGCTAAATTCAGCGGTCTGAATTCAGAAGCAAATTTAGAAGCTTCTGATTACACTGTTCTAAATTCAGTTACTGAATCAATTGTCAGCTTAAACGCGACGAAGTAAGACGTGTCGTGTGCGTAAGAGGATGGCCCCAGTATTGTTAAGCAACAACAATTTTTTTGTTTTTATTTTTTGTTTTTGTGTTTTGTTTAAATTTCTCAAAATAAAAAAAAAATAAAAACAAGAATATCGGTGAAGAAATATTTATTGCTGTGCGGAATGTTAGCAAATATGAACATTATGAGTGATTTAGAACCAGCAGACTTCAGAAATTGTCTATAAATGGATTCTATCTCGTTTAGACCTAATATTAAACCTTGTGACACCGTTTCTTCAAAAACAGGATACTACGATAGTCTATTATAATATATCTATTATTTAACTATTACATATCTAATCCTACGATAGTATAAGTCCAAAAGAAAGATTGGTTTTAACATTAAGATTTCTTGCAACAGGAAATTCGTATCAAGATTTAAGATTTAGTTCTTCAATATCCCAACCCCTGATGACAAAAACTATCTCTGAAACATGTCGGGCTATTTATAAATGTCTGGCACATTACATAAAGGCGACCGAAATTAATACTTTTTATTCGGAAGCAAAAAACAAACTAAAACGTCCTCGCGCACGGAGAGCTATGGGCCGACTGAAGCCATTCAGTAACTAAATGCGATTACACCTTCCTAAATGCATTTCTAATTAGGCTTTTAAATGATTCAGTCAGTCAGAAACCATCCTTGCTACTGAATTCAGTAGACTAACTTACTTAATGCTATTACACTTCACTGAATTCAGTAGCGTCTGAATTCAGCCAAGTGTAATAGCCTTATTATTAGAATATGTACCTCATTTCTATTGCTGAAGTACTTAAATGTAGCTAAATTTCTTGAAAGTAACGAATGATTGTTTCAGTTACCTTTTTTAATATTAATTACAGCTATCAATACCGACCCCTAGTTAATAAAAAAAAACTTGTGCGTATGTTTAATAACAAAACAGGAAACGGAATCTTACAGATCTTTGTTTTTAGAATCGACTTGGTCTTTAAAAAAATATCGTTTACAACAATGCTACTAAAGCAATTTATCTAGGGAATTTGAAATTTCTGACACGGCAACACTTCCAAAAGCTCCAAAATCAGAATTTATCCAAGTTCTGTCGTTTCTTATTTGACGGACGCTTGTGCACGGTAGACGGACTGTAAATCGATTAAAATATTTGTCATCTTCAAACATTAAACACTTTTAATAGTAACGTTCTCTTGATTTTAGTTGCTTAGAAATGAGAGCTAAGGTATTTTTTTAATTTTATATTTTGTTCATTTTAAAGTTTTACTGTTGTAAATGTTCATGATAGTACAACATGTTTTCAATTTGGTTGTTTCAGTGGCGAAAGAAGCGTATGCGTAGGCTAAAGCGTAAAAGGAGGAAGATGCGTGCGAGGTCCAAATAAACGGTAAGATGCTCTGATGGATATTGTTTAGAATAAATTAAGCATAACCGCTTACATTACTCTTCTTTATTGTCTTCTCTATTAACTTGTTATTGATTTACATTTTCTGACCCCACGTTATACGAAACTGACTAACCATCATCCCAATTTTTTAAAACAAAGATCTTCACTGTCTTCAACATTTCTATGATATACTCAATAATCAACCGCGGTACATCAACCCATTTCTCAAAATATCAAAGTGAAAGCGTGTTTTTTGTATGAATGATACATCTAAACTATCCATATCAATCCAAATAAACATGCACCTAACCTAACCTTACAAAATACCAAGGAACATGTGCAGACTTTTACATTTCCTCCTCAATACGCCAAAGATTATTTATAGCTAATCCTACTGAAATTTGAATTCTGAACCCAAAATTGTGGGAGTCTAATCTTATGAAATATGATTTAAGGGTTCCACTCCAAATCCACTAAGAAAGTAACATGTGTTACTATAAAAAGTGAATTAATAACAAAAAATAAATACTGGTACCTGTAAGTACACCACTAAAATGGAACTGACATGATAGTTTTTAGTGAGATCAGGAGTGTAGAGGAAAATGAAGTTTTTTCTTCAGTGAACTAAATTTGCATTATCCGTGGAAAAAATATTAATTATATTTTAACAGACTGGATAAATTCTTGGTTTAAATATTTTGATGCTCATTTTTAATGAAACTAAGTAATATTTTGACTTGAGTATTTGGATACAGAGGCTTCCCATGTGATATCGCAAACTAAACAGTTCTTGAAAAAATTGTCTGCAATTTGTAAGTATTGACTGTGAAGACATGCCTAATTTCATTACAATAGGCAAAAATGTGTAACCTGATCGTTTTGAATCTATTGTTTGTATAATGTAAACAATAGTTTAGTGATAATACTATTTCTAAGTGCTAATGTATCTTTTTTATATTTAAACAGAACAACCAAAAGCACTTAAATAAACTTACCACGCTCTGCTACATTTAATACTAGTTCATTCAATTGGTGGTAGGACCTCTTGTGAGTCCGTATGAGTAAGTACCACCACCACCACCCCTATTTCTGCCGTGAAGCAGTATGGTGTTTCGGTTTTGAAGGGTGGGGCAGCTGTTGTAACTATACTGAGAACTTAGAACTTATATCTCAAGGTGTGGTGCATTTATGTTGTAGATGTCTATGGGCTCCAGTAACCATTTAACACCAGGTGGGCTGTGAGCTCGTTCCACACACCTAAGCAATAAAATAAAATAAAACTTATTATAATTGATTTAAAGACTTATAGTAGTTTGAATTGTTTTTTTTCTTGACATGATCATGACCCACCTCGTGAAAGTTGTTAATGGAGCCTATACACTTAACAATGTGAATGCCATGCCCACCTTAGCATTCAAGGTCTGTGTTTTAATTTAATTACAACAGCTGCCTTAGCATCTGTTGGTACCACCAGGAAATAAACTTATCAATACTGGTTTTACAAACAGTGCTGCACACACTGAATACGTTTTTATCTGCCAAATAGATCACTGTGATATTGTCTTCATAAAGCCCACTTCTTCATAATCTCATTTTATTTTTTCATGTCTTGAGATTCCCATTTTTAAATTTTAACAAAATTGATTTTGTCACACCCTTGTCTTCTATGTTTAGTTATCACTATAATTAATGTTAGACTTTTCAATACACATGTTTGCTCATGACATTAATTTCTACCCATAAGTATCTAGAGTGTTGTATAATATGGATATAATTTCTAATAGATTCTTTATTTTCGTAACTGAAAAATTAACACTTCTACACACTAATATGCCACCCTCCGAGGCAGTCGTTTTCTCACTTTGGGAAAATGTAAAGAATTGGAGGGAATATTATGAAGCTAAGGTGCAAATTTCTTTTAATTGGAATTAATTAAAAGATTAATATCTGAGCTTTACATTTTTCACATTTTAAATATAGTAAATAATTAGATACAAAAATTTATATATTGTAAAATAAGACAAGAACCCTATGCTTACTAATAGTTTATTTTTATTTTTTCCAGGTACACGGCGCTTTAATTACTTGTAGTAATATGCAGTTGTGTATCAAATAAAAAAATCAGAAAATCATATATGTGTTTTTGTAAAATAGTGCTTACCTTATGCTGATATAATATATTGGCCGCCACGAAAAGCTATAAAATAAAGAACCTCTACTAAGTTACGTTATTACGTAGGTAGCGACAAATCAATCTACAACAATTAATAATCTCAAATTTAATTAATTCTTAGTTACATACTACGTGTACATGTAAATACTAAACTAATATGAGCATTTCACTTGGTCTGGTTCTATTAACGTTGTCGTCTAATGTTTCGTGGTATTGAACGCACCTAACTCTTGAAAGGAACATTGGGGCCGCCATTCAGAAGTATGTTCGCGCTGATTCTGACAAGGTTGCCTTTCGAATGCTTCTTGGTTTGTGTTGCAAATGATGTGACAAAAAAACCAGCAGCGTAACGACAAGTTCTTTTATTTGTGCGAGAATGCAGAAAGCAGCTAGAATTTTTTTTTTTTTTTTTTTTTTTTTTTTCCTACCTAAGCTGATTGCCCTAGCGGCTATTTCAGCGTAACCCTAACTTTAGTAGGTGAGCTCACGGGGCTCAAACCTGACGATGTTGCTAACACGAACCCTAGCAAGAGTCGTGCTTCGCAGAATCTACCATCGGATCGGAAACGCGACCCACTGAGAAGATCCGGCGAGAAACTAGTGGGCTGTGTCTGAGAGTTAATTTACTCGTCGAGCCCTTCGTCGCAAGCGACGGGTTCGACGAGAACGGTGACCGGTGCTTGAAGTACCTAAAAGCACCGTTAGTGGATCGGGAGGATCCGAGATGACGTGAGCTAGAAATGGCCGGCATGGCTTGTTTTATTAACACTATCCCCCCTTCGTTGGCTTTGGCTGGCGGCGGCGGCGGTGGCGGTGGCGGAAGGGGGCGTGTTAACATGGCTTGGCTGGCGGCAGGGCATGACAGCTAACGTCACGTCCGTTACATTTGTATTGTTTTCGCGGATTAGCTAGAGTAGGTAATGGCCTGGCTATACCTCTAAACTATCAACTGTGAGAAGGCCACATGAATTTTTTAAACATGACAAGTGTAAGTGCCGAGTCACACCGGAACGGCAGCGTCGCGGCGAGCACTTTCAGTGTGAAATAATTTTAAACTTTATCTATATACTTAAAAGATTAGTATCGCTTGAAAAGCTAGAAAATGTCGCGACACAGCCGCCGCCTGCCCGCGGTGAAGCGCGCCACATGCGTCTTGTCGTTGGTTCTGCCAGCGGCGACACGAGGACGCTCGCGGCACCGCGGTCATATATAATAACCAATTCCATCATGTTCACTCCAAACATACGTTTTTTTTTATTTTTTTATTGCTTATATAAGCTGTGAGCTCGTCCACCCGTATGAGCCCACTGCCCACCCTGTTGTTAAGTGGTTGGTTACTGGAGCCCATAGACATCCACAACGTAAATGCGCTACCCACCTTGAGATATAAGTTCTAAGGTCTCAAGTATAGTTACAACGGCTGCCACACCCTTCAAACCGAAACGCATTACTGCTTCACGGCAGAAATAGGCAGGGCGGTGGTACCTACCCGCGCAGACTCACAAGAAGTCCTACAACTAGTAATTACACAAATTATAATTTTGCGGGTTTCATTTTTATTACACGATCATTGCCGAATGAAGAAACTAAACTAGTCAAGAGGAGACTAAGCGCGTGCAGTCTGGAGGCCGCCAACGGCAACGCCTGGGGCCGCTGGCATCGCTGCCATTCCGGTGTGACTGGGCCCTAAAAATCTGATTAAAATATAGCTGGTAACGTTTGCATTACGCGCGAACAACAAAACATTGTGTGACAAGGGGCAGGGGGTCAAAAGCTTTATTATTAAAATACTTACCTAAATGCAGAATTTGTACGTGAACAAAAAATTGAAAATAATTATTTTCTTTCGATTATTTTTAAATACAAGCATAAAAGGTTTGAGTTCACATCAGAGGGGAAGGTTCTAAAAATGTGACAACCTGTGACGAGGTCGGGAGGAAAGGTTAAAAATTCTCAAAATTCGTGTGATGTAATTTATTGATGGCCCCTAACAACAAAAACTTGATTGTTATATCTGATGAACCAAAAATATGGTCCAATCGTATAGAAGAGAATAAAATAGCAATACTGTAACATGTATGTAAAACATAGATTTATTTATTGCGTGAAACATATCGAAGCTTTTTTTTGCCTACCTATTCGCTGGTAGACAAGGACTATTTCAACTAGGCGCGGACGGGTAGGTGAGCTCACGGGCCCAACCTGAGATAATTTGCTAACACTAGCCCTAGCAAGAGCTTTACTTCGCAGAATCTACCGCCGTATCAGAATCGCGACCCACTGAGAAGATCCGGCGAGAGCCTTGGTGGGCTGTGTCAATGAGTTAGATCGCTCATCTAATTCGAGAACGACGACCGGTGCTTGAAGAATCTAAAAGCACCGAGAGTGGATCTGGGAGATCCGATAACACAATGACTGATATGTTTCGAACGACGGCGGCTTTATGTTTACGTTGCCCCGTGTCGCTTGGGTCGGATATGTTGTATAAGTTTTACAGTGTATGTTGGTTTATCCATTTTAACAGAATATGAACAGGGAGCCCGTGGCATTTTTAAATGCAACGTCTCATGTTGAATACTTTGATACAGATCTTGTGAAAACCATACTTTGGTGCATTCTACGGAAGTCATAATAATAAAACAAAAAATTGCTAAAAACAGCAACCTTGTTGTGACCGTAGAAGGGCTGTGCGAAGAACGGCCCGCATGCCGTCTCTCAGTTTGTGCAGCCCGCAGAACCAAATAATAATCATTATATCGCGAGGAAAAGATTTTATTTTTCACATATTACATTTCTTATCAAATCCAGTCTTCATTTTAAAATAATAAGAAATGTAAGTATCTCTGTAAACGCTTTTTAATAAAAAGCCTTTTCACTATACATATTTGCAAATAAAATAAACAACTGATTACTTACCTTAAATTCTCTTTGAATACAAATTTGAATATAATGTAGATGTCAGTTTCTTATCCTATCATTATTAAATTTTTTAGGGAGCTTTTTAAAAAATTACATTACTTTCTAAAATCCGCCTTTAGCTTCTTCGGTATACCTATATAATCTTTACCCATATAGGTATCTATCAGGCCGGATTGATTTTAATAATGGGACGAATGACTGGTATTAAATGGGAGAAATCCATCCAATGCAGACCAATTCACAACATAATTTCTTCTGATTTTCCTAAATACAATCCTCAACCTTGGAAGTTTATGGTAAATAGCGTTTAATTGTTGTGCTAGTTGTTGAAACACAAGTTAGGCACCGATTTAAAATTTTATTCATAAAATCATTAATTGCGGTGATGAAGGGAATGGATTGTTTTCAGGAAGGTAAATCACGTATCGAATGGTTGCTATCATATGAATATCAACGCATGTGGTTAGATGAAAGAGAAGCATGGAAAAAGCGTATGTATCCAGAAAATACAACAGTAAACGTTGACATTGTAAAACGATATGTTTTAACTTTCAAAACTGCTCATCAAGCCATAAAAACGCAAAAAAAGAAACTGTTCAAGATAAAAAAGTAAGTTTTGCAATACAAAAAAATATTAGAGTGCAGTGATACTGTAATACATTTTTTGTTTTTGATGTATAGACGATTGACCTACTGGTGGTAGGACCACGGCAGAAATAGGAAGGGTGGTGGTACCTACCCGTGGGGACTCACAAGAGGTCCTACCACCAGTAATTACGGTAATTATAATTTTACGGTTTTGGTTTTTATTACACGACGTGAGGTTATTCCTTCACCGTGGAACTTAATCCTGAACATTTGTTAAGTACGTATTTCATTAGCAAAATTGGTGCCCGCCTGCGGGATTCGAATGCCGGTGCATCGCTAGATACGAATGTACTGAACGTCTTATCCTTTAGGCCACGACGACTTCATGCCTTTCTTCAAATTTCAAACAGGTTTCATATATCGTTTTTCAAGTTTTTTACTTTTTTACTGTAATTATATTATTTTCGATGTTTCGTATAAGTAGGTACCTTACAATTTTCGTCATCACGGACCACTTTTTCGTCCTTTATGGGTTCTCGAAATTGGTTAGGCAGCTCAGGATTTCTACTTTTCACCAGCATGTAGTGATCAATACCTGTTTTTTTTCTAGATTTGAGGGAATCGATGGTAAAACGAAAAGTAAACGGTCTGCCGATGATAAGGCAATGGCTTATATGAAAAACAAAGATAATAAGAAAACGTCTCATTAATATTGCAGCAATGAAATGAAAATAAAAATGAAACATGATAATAAAGGTCTCTTACTTTAAAAAATAAAGAAATACAAAAAAAAAATTAGTAATAAAGTTCTCTTAGATATTTTCTCTCAATTACTGTAGCGTGTACTTATATTTTTTTGCCGACAAAGTTTTGGAGACCTGTGACATCGACAACTCGCCCCAAAAATATTATATATTTTAATTTAAATATTGCGTTAGGCAGCGGCTTGGCTCTGCCCCTGGCATTGCTGAAGTCCATGGGCGACGCTAACCACTCACCATCAGGTGGGCCGTACTGCCGCTGCCTACTTGAGTACTTTCCGCAAGACTCGTTAGTAGGAAATTTCATACCACTCGGGAAACACAGTGGAGGGTAGTTTCATTCCAACGCCGGACGGAAAGTGGCAGAAAAGTAGATGAACGCCGCAGTAGTGTATCGATACTAATATTATAAAAAGGAAAAAATTGTTTGTATTGAATAGGCTCGGAAACTACTGAACCGATTTGAAAAATTCTTTCACTGTTTGGAAGCTACACTATTCCCGAGTAACATAGGCTATAATATTTTTTGAAAAAATTAGTGATCCTTACTAAAACTCAAATAATGTATGTAACCCAAGGTTTTTTTTTTTTTTTTTTTTTATTGCCTTTGTAGGCAGACGGGCATACGGCCCACCTGATGGTGAGTGGTTACCGTCGCCCATGGACTTCAGCAATGCCAGGGGCAGAGCCAAGCCGCTGCCTACCGCTTAATACTCTCCATAAGCCTCGTTTGAAGAAGGACATGTCATAGCGCTCGGGAAACACCGTGGAGGGGAGCTCATTCCATNATCAGGCGCATAACGCATTTCGTGTGACATGCTAGTACGATTTTGATTGGCGCGCGCACGCATCACGCAATCAGGAGCCAATCAGGCGCATAACGCATTTCGTGTGACATGCTAGTACGATTTTGGTCCCCATAATTTTCATACCCCGGGCCTATATATGTAAATCGATTCTAAAGGAGTAAACTCCAAAAAAAAAAATGATAGGACAAACTAAGAGACACATAGGTATCGGTCAGAGTTACGTAACACATTGCGAACCATAAGAATGACTGACTACTCGATTTTACAGTTTAAAAACGTGCTTTGGGCAATGCAATAAACTTTGACAAAATCCAAGTTAATTCCGTGAGGTCATGGAAATAAAGACCCCAACTTTAATAGAGAAGACGATTGGTGCTTATTAATATGAAAACCCAAGTCAACTGGTGGTAGGACGACTTGTCAATGTGAATCCGCACGCGTGGGTACCACCGCCCTGCCTATTTCTGCCGTAAAGCAGTAATGAAGTGAAGCGTTTCGGTTTGAAGGGTGGGGCAGCCGTTGTAGCTATATTGAGACCTTAGAACTCACTTCTCAATCTATATATATAAAAATGAATTGCTGTTCGTTAGTCTCGCTAAAACGCGAGAACGGCTGGACTGATTCGGCTAATTTTGGTCTTGAATTATTTGTGGAAGTCCAGAGAAGGATTAAAAGGTAGATAAATATGAAAAATCTCGGAATTAAATAAAAATAACAATTTTGTTTTTCCTTTGATCGGAACGTCGGACGGATTCCTTTTGTTGGTTTTAAGTTTATTTTATACAAAAGTTTAGATCTCTTATTTATCGATTGTGGCACTACGAAGTCTGTCGGGTCAGCTAGTAAATAAATAAAAATCATGGAAAAATCGCTTAATATGATTTACTGAAAAGTTAATATTTTAATGTAATTTTTAATTAATTGCATCTAAGTGTTTCTTCATGATTATGAACAACAAGTTTTTGCTGTCTTTGTTCGGCTCAACCTACGAGTATGTACTTGTCTTCGTTTCAGAGAGTGGCTCTTTGACATCCTCTAGATCAGGGCTTCTAAGATATACTACGAGAATGCAATCTAGTTCTGGAAATGTTTCTTAGGATGTTTTTTGTGGTTAAAATATTTTTGCGTGCCCTTACTGCGAATAAGTCTCATTATACCACCGTAAACGAATCATCTCGATGATAATTAAAAAACAACGTTATACAGAAATTGAATGGAACGAATAAATATTTATGAAATTCGGCCGTGCTCCCTTCGAGTTGATCTAATATAAATATTATTTGAAGCAAGTTTGTGCGCTCCGTGCTTCATGAGTCGATCTTGACGTTATCTTTGCAAATCATCGATATTTCAACCCTGGACCAGGGCTGTCGAAGATATTAATATAATTAATTTCGTTCCAAATTCGATGCAACACATATTCTTGAAAGAAAACGAATGAATACATATCGACGCTTGAAAGGCAAACGTGACTAATCGATAATGCCTGAACTTTACAGTAGACTAATTTAAAGTTGAAATACCTAAAAAAAAATCCGTTTTAACGAATCTAGCTGTAGGATTGAAATGATTTTAATAGACCTAGAAATAGAAATTTTTTGCGCATCGAATATGGTTATTACTTATCATTTATGTACAAAGCAGTTATTGTCGCTTAGTCACGTTTGCCTTTCAAGCGTCGATATGTACAAGTATAACATAAAGTTCAGATCTTTCAGATTCGTTTTGCTTAAAGAATATTCTATTTTTTTGCAAAGCGAATATTCCATGGAAGTAGCGCCGTAAAAGACTCGTTCGACGTTGTAGGAAATGACTAGGAAGTCAAGTTCTTTCATGTAGTCAGTACGTAGGTATGCCGTGGCGCGTGATAGCAAGCCCGTATCTGTTGCCAAATCTATACTAATATTATAAAGAGGAAAAATTTGTTTGTTTGTTTGTATTGAATAGGCTCCGGAACTACTGAACCGATTTGAAAAATTCTTTCACTGTTTCGAAGCGACACTATTCCCAAGTGACATAGGCTATAATCTTTTTTGAAAAAATTACGGATCCTTACTAAAACTCCAATAATGTAACCCAAGATGTAAAAAAATTACCTAAAATATTCTTTACATCGCGTGCCCTGCGAAAACTATTTATGATAGAATAAAATAATTTACTACGACTTTGTAGAACGTATTTATTATTTACAAAAAGTTTCGCGACAGCATATGTCTAACTATTATAATTATGCCGCAATAAGTATTCTTTTATTTAAAAAGATAAAACAACGTCAAGTATCGTTGAAATTTTTGTTAAGGACCCGAGCGGAGTCGGAGCGGGCCGCTAGTAATATAATATGCATTTGGTATTGAAGAAACACAGTCTATTCAATTTAATTATAACGACCTCCTTGAGGCTATTAGCGGCAGTCATCTTGCTGTATAAAATATATGGTAGTGAAATGTTCTTTCAACGCCTTTTTTTTTTTCTCTATATATATCTGCAATCGTCTCTTTCAACTTCAACGCCATATACGTCAACCTTATAGCCCTATTCATAGGGTTGATATGAAAATGATATCATAAAATTATTTATTGCAAGGATATGTCGGGGATTTTACTGAGTCTGCGCGATAACACAGCTCATCCATTACACGGCTTCTGATAACATCAATATTTAATGTGAGATAAAATGTACGTAATGTAACATATTATCGTGAATTTATTTTAAAAATCCTGAATTGTAAACGTGAAAATTGTGTTGTCATTCTGGTTTTCTAAGCTATTATAACGCTAGCTGCAATCAAGTGATATACTTGATTATTTTTAGCGTTTTTTGATTACACTATATGGTTGGATAAACTCACGGACCACATGTTGTTAAGGACCGGATAAATATTGTTACGCGCTGGGGTTCGGGATAAATAAAAACTCTACCTAATTATAAATTAAATCTGTATTAGCACTAAGAAAACTTAAAACACTTTAAAATTCTAAATTCGCTTCTTCCGCTTCGCTCCAGGTGATCCGTTCGCTGTTTCGCTTCGAGTAGTTCCGATTACTGACTATCTGCGGGTCATCTCTGCAACGCTTTTATAGTCGATACGATATCCCTAGAATTTTCGGGAATATTCCACACAAGTCGAGTATTGTGTGTTTCCGCTATCTAACAATAGATGGCGTGTCGAGTATTGTGTGTTTCCGCTATCTAACAATAGATGGCGTTGTACTTCTCGACCGTTCTAGATGCTACTAGATCCTTCGACCTTCGTTCGACTATTCGGCGATAGATGGCGTTACTCTTACCAGCGTAACACTAACAATATCATAACGTAAATGACAACTCTGCCCTTTGAAACCAGAGGTCGAAATGGTCACTGTGTTATTAATAGACAGGTCATTGTGCCCATAATATAAACATATAGATATTGGAACCGAACTCCCAGGTCGGAGACCTAGAGGAAGATCCAAGATAATGTAGAAAGATGTCCTGAAGGAAAAGAGGGAGTGTAATGTTACTGACGAAGACAGAGCGAAATGGAAATGTAGAAGAAAAATAAGCTGACCCCACCACCGTGTGGAATGAATAGCTAAGAATAGAAACAGAGGGACAAACAAACCTTATTGGAAAAATACAACATTTTTAATTTCAATATCAAATCTTATTCCTTTCGTGTACACAAAGTAAGTAAATACAAGATACGATTTAGCGAACTAAAATGAATAGATTTCATTGAATGCAGTGCTTACTATTTGTAAAGAGAGTCTATCGTGTACATAGCAAACGTATCGGTCGCCGTTGTTTGTTTGTTTTGCTCTTCGACAACCCTGCTTAATAGGGTTGGTGCGCTGTGAATATTTGATCTGTTTTCTATAGCTAATCCAATTCAGATGGTTTGTTATTTTGTTCACATCAGTTAGTTATATTTTGTAATTATCATTAGAATTTGCAGTCAAATTGTTTGACTAATTAAATTCTAATGATTATCTTTATGCGACTTTTAAGTGACGATGAACTTATACTTTATAGAAAAAGTTTAATTATCCTGTTAACAAATACTCACGATTAACAGATAAATCATTTTCACAATTGAAAATAAATTTAATGTCAAATTAATACATACATACATATTTCTGCAATACATTTAAGTAAAATCGA